AAAGCAAACTTTGCAACAATAACTTGAACCAAGAAATTAAGAGGTTGGGTTCAAACATATTCACTTCGTGCACTAAATATTTCGCAAAATCACAATGTTTTCCACAGAAGCACACTAAAGCAAGATGAATGGTCACAATAGAGAAACGCAAAATTGGCACCCTCACTTGATATATGCGAAGAAAAGTTGGGTTTCGAGGAATCTCTTCTTTTGCAATTGCTGAGTCTACTTCCATTTCGAGTGAAAGTGTTTGGTGAAAAGATTTTCACCAGAAGCCGAGGGTGGATTCCTCTTGACCAGCTGTCGATTGGCCTTACTGGAAGATTCATGCTGACGCTGTTTCCGAGGCAAACTTCTTCGATTCTGGTGAAAAGGTGCTAAGCTTTCGTCCGTCATATGACCAACATCAACAAAGCAAGACAGCATCTTAACAACCAAATACAAGCTAACGAGTCAAGAAAATCCACCGACAAATTCATAAAAAGTGGTATATATAGTCTAAATCTGGCCTCTTTGATCAAGCATAAAGTGATCTGGTAGTTACGGTCATATGTTAACTTCGAATCCTACGAGTGTGTCTGTCTCTGTATGTGTATGTGACTGTTTGTGTTCGCTGGTCAAAAAAATCCGCCGTCGTCTTCTGGTGAAGTCGACCTTAGAATCTATTCACCGAACACTTTCACTCTAAATGGAAGTAAGCTCAACAATTATCAAACAAGAGATTCCTTGAAACGCAACATTTTTTCACAAAAGATGAATCAGCCGCCATCTTCTGGTGGAATCGAACTTCGAATCTCTTCACCAAACACTTCCACTCGAAATGGAAGTTAGCTCAACAATTATGAAATTAGAGATTTCTCGAAACCCGAATTTTCTTCGCATAAGATGAATCAGCCGCCATGTTCTGGTGAAACCGACCTTTGAATCTCTTCACCAAACACTTCCACTCGAAATGTAAGTAGTCTCAACAATTATGAAACAAGAGATTTCTCGAAACCCAACTTTTCTTCAAAAAAGATGAATCAGTCGCCAGTTTCTGGTGGAATCGAACTTCAAATCTCTTCACCAAACCCTTTCAATTGAAATGGAAGTGAGCTCAACAATTATGAAACAAGAGATTTCTCGAAATTCAACTTCCACTCGAACTGGAAGTAGTCTCAACAATCCCATTTCATTTTGTGTAAAAGAGGCTGCCACGTCTGCCAGACAGGAAATCGCAAGCTGCTCGAAGGTGGGTGAGTACGATGCAATTGTTGCATTTGCTTTCAATTCGAGTGAAAGTTTGTGGTGAATAATTTCAGAGACCGATTCGGCCAAAAAACATGTCGGCTGATTCGTCTAACCAGCTGTCCTTAGGCCATACTGCAACATTCTGGTTGACATTGAGCTTGAGACAAGCTGCCTCGATTCCGGTGGAAACGAGCCGGTTTGCTGTAGCTTTCATGTTGATGAAGAAAATGTGAATGAAGGGTATTCACAAATTGGCTTTAAATGAAACCGAAATTGGTCTGTCTCGAAGTGAAGAGGTTCTCGGGCCACGGATGAACACATGTTGAGTTTTCGTCTTTCCCGGCCTGCCAGGCATCGTTAGAGTGAGAAAGCAAAAGTAAATCACACTATACTTTGCTTCTAGCTTGTCCTACAGTCGAGCCGGCCGAGAAGACGGTCTGTTGGCGAGGCTGGAAGCGACATCAGATTGCCCCGATTCAAGCTTGTTCGGGTGCGGCGGACATGTCAAACGAGATCAAAGACGAGTGAATCAGCTCGCTTTGCTCTTGATGTACCAAAGCCCCTTGGACAGACTGTATGTACCCAATCGTGCCAATTACATGTGGTCGTCCCGTAGGCGGGTTCAGTCGGCATGGCAACATATGTTGTTGGCCGGCAGCGCGGATACCGCAAGACAAGGTTGAGCGATCCTCGAGCAAGGAATGCCACATGACACTCCACCCGAATCGGCGCTTCCCGCACTCAGTCATGTTTTACGCTGTGGCAGCCCATGTCGCCCCATCCGATCGGGCCAGGCAAGATCAGCCACATGCCAAAAATGTTACTCAACACATCTACCATGTGGTTTGTGTGATTTTTTCCTTCGCGCCAACTCACGCCGTCTCCAACCGTCTCCTGATGCCAAGGCGGCAAGAAGTTCAGCAATCATGATTTCGTGTTGAATGTGTTCTGCCTCTTTTTCATGAACAAGCATACACATTTTGGCCAGATATGGACGTAAGCATCCACATGCACGCACAAACACACACACACACACACACACAAACTAATACATATATGCCATAGTCGAGATAAAATCTAGGGCGGAAATCGTTCTTAGCTAGAGTTAGTTATTTTCTGAAAATATGCAAAAAAGTGAAATTCTGTTTCCAAGGCTGCCTTACTAAAGTCATTATTGACAACCTTAGATTTTGTTTTAAATGTTGGACGGACAGGATGCCTAGTTTGTCCTCATCACAAACCGAAGAATGTGAATGTTGATTTGAACTTGCCTCCAATGCTAAGGAAACAGCGCACCTGAATACACATCATTATTGCCTGATTGAACTGTGATTTATGTATATATGTATGCAAAAAAGCACAAACCCATTCATATACTCTTCAGACATTATCTTCCCTCCCCCACAAACATTTAACGAGGGCATGTATTGGCAGCAATGGATGTCTCCTCAAGACTGCAAGATTTGAAATAATATAAATTAACCTTTCTTAGTTTAGTGCTTTGGTACCTTTTTAAATGGTGGTATCTAGTTCTGGTGACGTCTGGCAAGGCGGGAGAGATAAAAGCTCGGGTTGCGTAGATCAGTACCACATGACGCGGCAACGAGGACTCTATCGAATAAGACAAGAGTCAGAAACCTTAAAAATGCATCCTCTTAAAGTGAAATAGAGTGTACCATCTTCTTTTCGGTCCTCGATCCTCTTCCTGTTGTCGCCTTCATTTAAGCCCTGACTCGAATTGGACCTGGTGATACCAAAACTCATTTCTACATGGAAGAAATTCTCAATGTCGTCTCACGGAAGAGAAAAGGAGAATTGTTGAATTGTGATAAAAAGTCATCGGCTCATTGTCCTGCGACTCCGATGAGCCTATGCTGAGCTTCCGTCTGTACCGTCGTGACAGACAGCATCAGAGCAAAAAACCAAATTTACGAAATAGACTACTTATTTGCACAATTCAGTAGTTTTCGCTAAGCTGCAATCTTAGGCCGCTTAAAATGAGTTAATGACCGATAGTCGAACTTTTCTCGATACCATCACATATCCAAAAAGTGGATAGCATCCGGACAACACCAACGGTATTCTAAACAGGGCTGCGAGAATCGGGTCTGCAGAATACCACTCAGGACAGATATAGATTTTGAGGCAGGTCACAACATACCCAAATAACATTTGTGTGGGAATTGTCATCAAGTGAGCACTTATATGAGGTGTATTCACCCTATTTCGCTAAGGAGATGAATTTTCCCACAATTATATGATTAAACTTTAAGTTTCTAGTGAA